CCAACCGAGGGGGGCGCAAAGGGGAACCCCTTCCCAAAAAAAAAAAAAAAAAAAAAAAAAAAAGAATTGTTTTTCTTAAAAGATTTTCCCAGGGTTGGAGAGATGGCTGAGTGGTTAAGAGCAGAGGACCTGGGTTCGATTCCCAGCACCAACATAACGGCTAAGAACTATCTTTAACTCCAGTTCCAAGGGAATCCGATGCCCTCTTCTGACCTCCACAGCATTGCATGACCTCACTCAAAAAAAAAAAAAAAAAAAAAAAAAAAAAGAATTGTTTTTCTTAAAAGATTTTCCCAGGGTTGGAGAGATGGCTGAGTGGTTAAGAGCAGAGGACCTGGGTTCGATTCCCAGCACCAACATAACGGCTAAGAACTATCTTTAACTCCAGTTCCAAGGGAATCCGATGCCCTCTTCTGACCTCCACAGCATTGCATGACATGACACGAGTGTACTCATATACATGCAGGCACTCGTACACATAAAATAAACTAATATTAAAAAAAAGTTTCTCCCAAATATAGTGTAAGGGAACTGTAAGACTTACGAGAATTTTAAAATTTTGTATACTTACTTGATGATGACCTAAAACTATTTTAAAATCAGTTTTACATGTAAAATTCTTATGTTTTAATTTGCAATTGAAATATTTCTGCACAGTAAGATTTGTGTGTGTGTGTGTGTGTGTGTGTGTGTGTGTGTGTGTGTATGTTTTTTGGTCTTTTTGAGACAGGGTCTCCCTGTAGCCCCAGCTGACCTGGAACTCACTATGTAGACCAGGCTGGCCTTGAACTCACAGAGATCCACCTGCCTCTGCCTGGGATTATAGGTGTGCACCACCAAGCCTGGTGGGGTTTTTTGTTTGTTTTTATTTTTTGAGATAGGGTTTCCCTTGTAACCCCAGCTGGCCTAGAACTTGCTATGTAGACCAGGCTGGCCTGAAACTCACCGTGTAGACCAGGCTGGCCTCAGTCTCATAGATCTGCCTGCTTTGCCTCCTGCTTCATATTAAGATTTTAAATTTTTTATGGTTTTGTTTTGTTTTGGGACAGGGTCATAGACCATAATATTGCAGGCTGGCCTGGTACTCACTATTAACTATCCCAGGCTCTCTTGAACTCATGGCAATTCTCCTGTCTCAGTCTCCCAAGTGTTGGGATTACAGGCATGAGCTACTATGGAAGTTTAAAGTTTTAATTTCTTAATTTCAAACTGAAGAAATCTCAACATGGTTTCAGTGTTCAAGATTATGTTTTTTCTTCTCAAACAGATGCTCACTTTAAGTCAGTTTCAGAAACGAATTTCTCTGCTTCCATTTGACAGTAAACATTTCAGGGTAACTAAAGCCTCAGTATTAAAAATGCATAAAATCTGAGGCATTGGGGCAACTTTATTTCTCAGAGTAGAAGGCTCGTTTTGGACGCAATGATTATTTCAATTTCCAAATTAGAACTGATTTCACGGTCTTTCCTTAACAGGGGTTGTATGACTGTCCAGGGGCCACACTAGGGTGGGTCCAGACCCTGTAGTCTGGGGCCCTTTGAGGCACAGGCTGAACCTGCTTGGGGGATGGGGAGGAATGAACACATATCCTTGTGAATTCCTAAGCCCCGAGCGCCCTCTGCTGGTGTTAGGATGCACAACCCCCACTAGGGCTACTGAGAATGGTAACTAAGATCCAGATTCCTCTCCACTGAAAACAAAACACCAATTCTTAAGGTTATGTTTAAAAGGACCCTGGAGCGAGAGCCCAGTGTTTCGCATGGCTTTGGTTAGAGCGTTAATGAGCAGAGAACAGTCTTGACTTTCCACGTGCCCTGCACAGTTTCTGCTTTAATAATCTGCCTCACCATGGTAACCTCAAGTGCAGGAAAGTCACATGGCATCCCAGAGGTCTTTAGTTTTATTGCTAAGCTTGTCACCTCTTGGTTTTCTCTGTTCTCTTTCTCCTTGCTACTCTGTGGCATCCTCCCCAGCACAGAGCACATGTGGCACAGCTGAGGGGCAAACACCAGGCCTCCAGTCTGAGGAAAAGTGTGCTCCCAGAAGTGAGCAGGCCCTCACAGCAGCTGTCCCACTTGATCCATGATCCACTATTGTCTAGGTCTTTTCCCTCCTCGAAAATAAATGGTCAGAGATTGGGGATGTGGCTCAGTTGGTGGAGTGCTGTAACATCCAGGGTTCAATCCCCGGCATCACACAGACAGGCATGCTGGTGGTGCACTTCTATAATCCCAGCACTTGGGAAGTTGAAGCAGAAGGATCAGAAGTTCAGGGCCATCCTCAGCTACACAACAAGTTCCAGACCAGCCTAGGCTACACCAGACCCTGTCTCAATAAAACAAAAACCCAAAAGGTAAGCCAGGGATGGTGGCCTACACTTCTAATCCCAGCACTCTGGGAGGGGTGGCTAAGGCAGGAGGATCATAAATTCAAAGCCAACCTAGGCCACATAATGAGACACACACCCCCAGGCAAAAAAAAAGTCAGTTGAGGTTTAACTTTAAATACAGAAGGCAAAAAAAGATATAGCTAAATCCAGACTTTAGAGTTCATCTGTTTAAGTCATGAAAGCTTTAGAAGTTCAGATTTACAGAGCTGGGTTGATTTATACTAAACCTTGAATTTGAAAATGAAAGGATTTATTTTAACACAGTTTCTATAAACATTACTAATTGATCAAGATCTTTGGGATATATATATATAGTCTTTTGTTTTTTTGAGACAGGGTCTCCCTGTAGCCCCAGCTGGCTATGTAGACCAGGCTGGCCTTGAACTCACAGAGATCCACATGCCTCTGTCTCCCGAGTGCTGGGATTAAATGTGTGAGCCACCATGCCCAGCTGGAGATATATTTTAATGAGTAGATAGAATAGACTTAAAATAACACTGCCAAAAATTAAAATGTGTAGGTGACTGGTAGGTATATTTAACCGTGACTTCATACTGTTCCTGGTATTTATGTGCCTAATTAATTTTCATAGGCAGATAAAATGAACTTTGGCAGGTAGGTTTTTTTCAAGTTTTAAGGAGTGAATTCTCCCTTCACAGATTGCCTTGTGCCTCCTCCCCATGAGATGAATATTTGCCAAATCAATTTAACCTGGTCAGAAATTAATTGATCATTTTCCTGATTCATTTAAATGTCTTATTTTTTTCTTTCTTTATCTCTTCCCTTAAATTTTTTAAATTTCATGTTTATGTTCTACAAGCAGCCTTGAGTTAATTCCTTTGAAAAACTAAAAGTACTGTGTTTCTTCAATTGTATGGAAAGTTCATGTTTTCATGAGTTGACATAAATGGAGACTTTCGAGGTATTTTATTCCAATGCAGTATTTA